CACCGGTGCCACTTGATAACTGGACAATTATTCTGCCATTTTCACCGGTGCCACTTGTTAGCTGGACACTTACTCTGCCATTTTCACTGATGCCACTTGTTAACTGGACACTTATTCTGCCATTTTTACCGGTGCCACTTGTTAGCTGGACACTTATTCTGCCATTTTTACCGGTGCCACTTGTTAACTGACACTTACTCTGCCATTTTTACCGATGCCACTTGATAACTGAAAACTTATTCTGTCACTTTTACTGGTGCCACTTGTTAACTGGACACTTATTCTGCCATTTTTACCGGTGCCATTTGTTAGCTAGACACTTATTCTGTCACTTTTACCGGTGCCACTTGTTAACTGAAAACTTATTCTGTCACTTTCACCGGTGCCACTTGATAACTGAAAACTTATTCTGTCACTTTCACTGATGCCACTTGTTAACTGGACACTTATTCTGCCATTTTTACCGGTGCCACTTGATAACTGGACACTTATTCTAGGAATATCTTTCAGTATTCCATACAATTTTTAGAGAAAATACGTTATGATTATAGCTTTGAAGATTCGCATTAAAACTACACCGAACTTATATTGTTCTCTTATTACTGATACTTTAATCAAGCAAAAACAAAAAACTACCGCCCGCAAGAAACTTACAACAGATTTGAAGTTGAAATCCCGCACTGGCATGCCACGTTCAATTTAATTATTTCTTTTTTTTAGGCGTCTGAAAGCCAAGAGTGCTTAAGTACTCTATAACAACTCTGACGAAACTTTGCAAACAGTTAAGATGAGTTCGTGACATTCCTTAAAAGTTGCTAAATTTTTCAATATAAACTCGAGCCCTTGGCCCACATTCTGTTGGACGTCCTTATGTTTGTATCAAATAGAAATGAAATGTAATGTTTTTTATTTTAGGTAGCGTAGTTCTTATCTTTTGTGTTCCGTGTTCAGAGGTATTAGTCGCTTTTTGAAGTTACATCAAGCTGTTACACACACATGAATCGTGGTAAATATTTAGGTAACGAACCAGGGGCACTAAGAAACAGCAGGTTACCTTTAACGCAAGAACTGTCCCCTTATATGGAATGTTTCTGGTGATGTAACTTCAAAAAGCGACTAATACCTCTGAACACGGAACACAAAAGATATGAACTACGCTACCTAAAATAAAACAGCAGGTTACCTTTAACGCAAGAACTGTCCCCTTATATGGAAGGTTTCTGGCTTGCGGTGAAGATAACCTATTGTTTCTGAACGCCCCTGGTTCGGGCCCGGCATGACCAGGTGGTTAGGCCGCTAACTCACAGGTTCGAATCCCCGTCCCACCAAACATGCTCACCCTTTCAGCCGTTGGGGCGTTATAATGTTACGATCAATCCTACTATTCGTTGGTAAAAGAGTAGCCCAAGAGTTGGCGATGGGTGGTGATGACTAGCTACCTTCCCTCTAGTCTTTCACTGCTAACTTATGGACGGCTATCGTAGATAGCCCTCTTGTAGCTTTGCGCAACATTCAAAACAAACAAACAAACAACCCCCTAGTTCGTCTCCTAAATACCTGCCACGATGCGTTTGTGTGTAGCAGCTCTTGCGGTTAATATAACCTACTGTTTCTGAACGCCCTGGTTCGACTAGGGATCCAGGTTCCATAACACTTGTGAATTTATAATTATCTACCTTACTCTAGTTAACTTATTGAAATTGATTATAACGCAACAGATAACATTCTGTGAAAGAGACCGGTATGTTTCTTATTTGTCAGCAGTGACAAGTTGTAACTATATTAGAAAGTTAAATATGCTCATTCTCAATCATTCCTCAACGGTTATTGTCCTTTGACATCCTTCTTACAGTTGTCTCTTCTTTTATATTCTAATATATCTATTACTCAGCTTTAAGGGAAATAATGTTAGCACATCAGAAAGGAAGGGCCCCGGCATGACCAGGTGGTTAGGGCGCTCGACTCGCAATCTGAGGGTCGCGGGTTCGAATTCCCATCCCATCAATCATGCTCGCCCTTTCAACCGTGGGGGCGTTATAATGTGACAGCCAAGCTCACTATTCGTTGGTGAAAGAGTAGCATAAGAGTTGGCTGTAGGTGGTGATGACTAGCTGCCTTCCCTCTAGTCTTATACTGTTAAATTGGGGACGGCTTGCGTAGATGGACCTCGTGTAGCTTTACGCGATATCTATAACAAACAAATAAATAAACAGAAAGGAAGGTGTTGCAAAATATATTCTATATTCCAAAAAAATATTAAACAGAGACTTTATCTGGCGCTAATATAAACACAAATTTGTTTCCGTTTCTTAAACACTGCTCTGGAAAACAATCGGCATGACCATTACTGTTATAATTTCAGAACAATAACCTTTGACATTCGAATTCATCAGAAAAAAATTACGTGACAAAGCTTGAATTGTCCTGGTTTAATGGGAACACGGTTTCAATTTGATAGTACCTAACGCGCACATGGATTTAATGGCCAGATCAGAGATCCCTGGGATTCTAGTATAGCCGTCCATAATTTAGACTTGCTGACCAAGAGTAAGGCAGTCAGTTTCTACATGGGCTTTTTAAAGTGATTGACTGTCTAATTTTTTAAGCGCCTATAACAGAGAATGTCTCAAACCTCGGACCACTTAGTACTCACCACCCCCCCCCCCATTAAATAAAAACAAATCGTAGTTTCATATCGGCTTTTGACGTTCTGTAGATTCATACCTATAGAATTTTGTGGTATCGTTCTTGACTTATAAAGTTTCCAGATGACACGGTGTAGTCAAATTAATAACCAGTTTACAAAAGTGAGACTCCTAAGATAACTAAATAAAAGCTGAGCATTATTTAAAATTCTGGGAATTCAGTACGTTATATGTTAACGATATTGAATACGCATGTCAGCAATTCACGTGACAACCACAGCCGATATATATAGTAGCGATTGAATGTCATGTATCACAACTACATTTTGAACTTTGGCGTTTTTTAAGTAATGTGATGCAACCGAAAATTGATCGCCTTTCTGAAGAAATATGCAACAGTCCTTTCCGACCCAAACTATTCATACATTCTGATCATAAGGATGTGTCCAGGTCGGGGATTTAGAATTTCCCAGAAGGGCATATCCTTTTGTATTTAATGGCATTGGAAAACAAAGGAATATGGATCAAATTGGGGGCCCAGGACCATCCACATGAAGACCTCCAACAAGTCGTACACAAGCCGTGGGAAGTGCAACATCTTGAAGCAGATGAGAATCCACGAACATAAAGAACAGTGCGTCGTAAGCAATATTGGACCACATAACGTAAAATGATCTCCATCTGGAAACGAAGCTAACAAGGTATGGGTTCACCAAGATAAGGCTTCCTGTTATATCTCTCATTCAACTATCACATACCTCAAGCAACCGGAGAAAGAAACGGGTATCTTTGCTATTCCATAGAAATATATACTGATCAAGTTGCGAACCCAGCGCCTATGGATTTCTGTATGATTAGACTGTTGAAAAGGGATACTGAGAAGCCGTCGTCTTCGTACACTAGACAGATTATAAAAATCCAGCTGGAGTTTGGGAAATCTTACGACGGAGACTTTTGGAAAGGAAACCACGCTACAGGACTATTTTGAAGATGTGCATGACTGGACATGACGACTCGGACTATAACGACGTAGTGAAGTTCCAAAAATCATTTATGTAACGTATTAAACCTCACCTCTACAAAAAACGTTCAACTTCCCTCTAATATAAGTTTTATGTTTCATAATCGGACATTCATCCCACCTTAATTTTTTAACAAGTAACTGGTTTGTTTGGTATCTTCGTGCAGTTTTTGTTTTTTCGGAGCTATGACGTCACATAGAGGCCACTTTAATATTGATGTAGTATATATTAGTACCGCATGAAAATTAAAACCATTACTTATTATCCTTACAAAGTAACCCGCGACATCGGCATTCAGAGGGGATGAGAATGTGGGAAAACAAAGTGTAGCTACGAAAAACAATACATGGGGAATCAATAGGACAATATACAGCCAGAAAGCCACTAGTAACGCCCCCCCCAGTGGTACAGCGGTATGTCTGCGGACTTACAACGCTTGAAACCGGGTTTCGATACTCGTGATGGGCAGAGCACAGATAGCCCATTGTGTAGCTTTGTGCATAACTACAAACAAACAAACCACTAGAAACTGCTGTAAAGAAACTCTTCTCTACCCCCCGCGAAGCAGCCTTTCTCCTTCCATACGAGGCGTCAGAGCCTGTTGGAGCTAAGTCTTAGATTATACTCGACATTACATTAACCACACGCTCTAATCAATTCCCTAACGTAGTCAAACGTGGCTAAGATCTTTTTTTTTTTATGAACGTTACTACACAGTTTATGCATTTCAAAAAGCGTTTAGAGATGGTGAGCCTCTGGGTCTCCTGTTTAGTTAACTACACTGTTTGTTGTTGCTGTTAGGTTTCAATGTATTAGCCACACAGAGAAGAACTTAGTCAGGAAAGTTACGTTGTTCAGGCATAGCGATTATTTTAATAAATCAGTCTGACGAAATGTGACTGTCATACGTGAATAGACTGTAAAATCTTACATGACCTTGACAAAATGAAAGTTTAAAGCCAGAGAAAAGTGCATTATTGTTTACATGTGCCCATCCATTTTTATCTTTGTAACTAAGCAAGTAAGTTACTAGTTGGTAAAGACCATTCTGAAAGCACTTGTTAGGCCTCACCGTGTTTTTATTGTGTTATTCTGCCTCACTGGTATTGTGGCTTCTTATTGGGATTCATTAATTGTTTTCTTCAATTGTTTTTTTCCTCTATCTAAGCTCATTACGATGATTAAGGAAGTCGTGACTTAGGTTTCAGGTTAAGTGCTTTATCCACGCTAAATATAATTGTCTGGTATTTAAAAGAGAACAATTTTGGATTTTAAAAAAAATCAACCATATTTCACAGTTTATGACAAGGTAACTTTGGCTGTTTCAGGATTTTCAATGGCTTCACGTCAAGAAAGAAGCCGTGGTCCACGATTTATACACGAACCTCCTGTCTTGGTAGAGTTTGACAACAGCAGTGGCGCGATGGTTCCATGTACAGCTGAAGCGAACCCTACTCCTTTTTTACAGTGGGTCTTGCAAGATGGTTCACAAGCGCACGAGTTAACAGGATTACGCCACTTCCAACCAGATGGGTCACTCGTTTTCCCGCCTTTTCGAGCAGAGGCTTACCGGCAAGACGTGCACGACGCCATCTATCGATGTGTTGCATCCAACATTGTTGGGATTATCAGAAGTCGTGATGTCAGAGTGAAAGTTTGTACGTTTCTTCTCTTTCTTGTTTCATTAATATTATTTATAAATATTATTTGAAGATTATAACGATAAACTCTAAACCATCAAATGTTTAACAAGTTAAATCATGATCTTGATCATAAGCTTTTCAAACTTTCATGTTTGGTTTGCTTGAAAACATATGTGGTTGCTTTGGATGTTACGTTACATCAGTGTTGTTCAGTTTAGACAAACTTGTTTAACTAGCTTGGTCTGAACTATAAAGTTACTGCAAACAAGGAAGGCTTTTACTTGATATTTTAGTACCTGAGTGTCTGTGGTTATCTCACTATGTCATCTAGTAATCTCAAAATATAGTACAAAGCATTATCCTTTCAATTTCCAAAAGTTTGATAACCTGCAAAACTTTCAAATTACTATAATACAACGTAACCCTAGATAACCTGCAAAACTTTCAAATTACTATAATACAACGTAACCCTAGATAACCTGCAAAACTTTCAAATTACTATAATACAACGTAATCTTAGATATTCTGTTCATAGGAATCTTAGTAAATTGTTAATATTTTTTGTACAATCCATTAGCGATATTAGAATGGTAGTTAAACCCTTTCTACAGATTAGCCTATAAAACGTATTTATTTTTTGCAATGTTAATAACCATTACACACAACACCGCCCATTCCGCTTCGTTTCATTCCATCAAGTGCGGTTATTAATACCTTTAGTCTAAGTAACTGTAAACAAAAATTAAGAATCAAAAGTGCTTTTCACATAAGCCAATAACAGGCTTATGACACCTTTATTTATAATGTTCTCCGTACTAAACTTGCAAGTTGCTATAAATGCAGTATGTTACGAATACATGATATTGTCATCCGTACACCTTCAGCTACTGTTGTAGTGACCTCTGTCGTGTGATTTCCAGAAATCGGTGGAATGCTCTTATCGAGATTATTATACTTACAAGTAGAATATTTGATAAAGACTGCTTCAAAGTACCCACACTAACTTTATAAACACACTGCTTATACTCTGATTTTAGATATAGTGAACTTCTACTGCTCTGTAATCAAAAATTAAACTTGTTAGATAGTTTGGGAGAACTCGCCTTCATATTAAATTTTTACATTACCTAATGTTACAGTTCATCAAGATCCTATGGTTAAAACAAGCACTAATGTCAATCTGACAAGGATCAGATGTTTAAAATATATTAATATTATATAGTAGGTAAAGTGGTACACTTTAAAATACGGTAATATCGTAGACAGGTGGAGGATCAGTTGTTTAAAATATAGTAATATTATATAGTAGGTAAAGTGGTACACTTTAAAATACGGTAATATCGTAGACAGGTGGAGGATCAGTTGTTTAAAATATAGTAATATTATATAGTAGGTAAAGTGGTGTACTTGAAAATACAGTAATATCATAGATAGGTGAGTCAAGTTCTTAAAAACACAATATTATTGTTGTAACGGTTTCCATATTTGGGCAGGCACTCTTGGGTTATTCGATAAAATACTGCAAAGTACAGTCACTTAATGATAACGAAAGCGTTTTATTTCTTCAATTATAAGTTTTACATGTTAGTTTAACTAATATTATCTTGATCCCTTATTTTCCAATGGTCATCCACGTAAATGGCTAATCTATTTAAAAGAGTAAAGTTGTATCTTTTTATCAGAAGGTGAATGAAATACTGTTGTCTGGGTCTTTTTTTTATTCCATGGATTTAACGTATTTCAGCAAACAAATCCTTCTTGTAGGCATAACAAAACCCACTGTATATCTCTGAGCCATTGTTTATTACGAGGATTATCCTGCGTCATTCCTAACCTACTGAATAATCAGGATGGATTCTATTGTTTGTTACGAGGATTATCCTGTGTCATTTCTAACCTACTGAATAATCAGGATGGATTCTACTGTTTGTTACGAGGATTATCCTGCGTCATTCCTAGTCTACTGAATAATCAGGATGGATTCCATTGTTTGTTACGAGGATTATCCTGCGTCATTCCTAGTCTACTGAATAATCAGGATGGATTACATTGTTTGTTACGAGGATTATCCTGCGTCATTCCTAGTCTACTGAATAATCAGGATGGATTCCATTGTTTGTTACGAGGATTATCCTGTGTCATTCCTACTCTACTGAATAATCAGGATGAATTTTTGAGAAATGCGGCTGTTAAAGGCATTTTGGAGTAAAAGCTGGGTACTTGACTTTTTGATATAATTTGAGTATGCTGAGTCCAAAAATCACCGTTTCAAAGCTGACTTTTGAGTTTTTGATCCTATAACTCATGAAAAACAAAATGGCCGCAAAATTGCGGATATCGGATACAATGCATGCTTTACGGCATTAAAAGGTTCTATATATATGTAAACATTATTTTATATCAGAGAAACCTTTGTGACCCGGAATTGGATTTTCAGAGTATAAGTGATAGGAAAATGTATTCCTCAGGTTAATATCGAAGCATTGTTAGAGTTTCCTCATTCTCCTGGTTTTCTGTTGTCATTTGCTATATTGCAGTATGCTCATACTTTGTGGAATCATGGTATAAGATTCCTCAGCGAGCTTCTAGTAACTTTTCCAGACATCATTCAGACGAACAACTTATCCTTTGTCTTCTGCTTGATGTAACTCTTTACACAGCCATATCATGGGAAGATCTCTATTGGCTAAGTCTTGTCTTGTCTTGGTTGTAGATCTGATGAATGAACTCAGAGAAATCAGGTGATATTTAGCTTCAGTCGCAATTAGATCAATCACTCCAGCCAATCAAATACCAATTGTGTAGTGAAGATGAGCGGTTTGAATGATTTAATCATTCAATTGTTTAGTCATAACTGAACTCAAACGTGCCTTAGGTTTAACAGTTTTGTAAAAAAGTTCCAGTTGACTGATTCCGCAACGTTTTGCAATGAACGGCTGACGCCACCAGAAACTACTGCTCTAGCTTGACTCTTCTTTAAAATACATCTCTGGATTTTTCTGCAGCCGCTGGGTTTCAGTTTGTCGGTGACCTGTGCGTAGCAAGTTTTATCCCCAAAACAAGACTTTGAGCTTTAGGAGAACCTAAATCATTCTCAAGATGCTCAATCACATCTGTATTTTTTAGTCTCTTACTTTTTTTCCTGCTGGCGTTCCTGGCGGTTATGAATCCCTGGGCACGTGCTTCACGCGGAACATCGCCGACTTTATGAGTCTGGCAAAACAAGCACAAGCTGTAAGTTACAGTGGAAGTTCTCTTCAAACTAACTATTGGATCAATCTTTGTCTATTTACAACAGTTCCACTCTATATATCATACAGATGTCAACAAGTCGCACTGTCAGGTGCTGAGGTGAATATCTCATGTGTATTAACTTCTCGATTCATCATTTCCTGAGGCCAAAGTGAAAAAAGCTACACGTTTAGTGCTGAAACCACATGTATCCGGAATAATTTTAGTAGCTATTCTTCGTTCCATTTTTGGATTCATTATAATTCTATTATGTCCAAAGTTATTTAATCAACATTTCTTCACTAATTTATTCTGATTTAACTGATCTGAATGCCCCAAAAAATTTCTGTGCTCGAAATGAATATAGAAAAATACTAAAAATTCTTAATTTGGCGGCTATTTTGCTTTTTTTGCAAATATATAGGTCAAGAGCTCAAAATTCAGCTTGGGGACCTCCATTTTCGGTTTCAGCACACCCGAATTATGTTAAAAAGTCATATTCCCAACTTTTATTCCAAATTACCCCTTTATATATTTTCCAGGAATCTTTCTCATAAATCCGTTCAGTTTATATTGCCTTGTGTTGAATGGTTACTGCTCAAAGACACTTCAGTCGTTATATATATATATAATAACATTTTGTCACTGGCATTTTTGCATCTTTCAACATAAATTTCCCTAAGACAAGCATTTATACCAACATTTTATTACGTCTGCTGTTTGTTTCTCACTATAGACACCTCCACATTGATATCAACACATATACTGCTCACATCTTTGCCTCAGCATCTTTCAATTGAGTGATTAACTACATTTCTTCTTCTCCATCATCTGTGGTTATTCCTTTTGAAATATGTTTTGTTGCATTTAAGTTTGGTTGTCTTTGCTATCTGGTGCTTCCATCATTTTAATGTTTACACACTTTGGTAATAAAAGACATTTGGGATAATGCATCACTATTTCTAGGATTTCATCTATGGTGATGCATGATGTTGAGGATATAATCTGAAGTTTCTAGAGTCATCTTGCAGTCTGGCCTACTGAATTGCGAAAATTCATCATTCACATAAATGCTGCATGATCAGTCTCGAGTGTAAGTTTTTGTTGACATGAGTAGAGGTAAAATGACTCAGGGTATAGCAATTCTTTCCAAATTGTAGAATACACCCAAAATAGAACGTATAACAATAGGCAATCGTGTGTTCTTTCTCTTGCTATACTTTTCATAACACTGATCCCACTGCACAATCATTTGTGTCTGTATCTATTACGATTGGGTCTTCATGAGATAAGTAGCCAATAAAGAATAATGGTTAGTTCTTTGCTCAGTTTATTAAATGGTTGTTTTAATTCAGTGGTCCAGCAAAACCTATTTGGTTTTCCTGACACTTTGTGTGCTATGTCAGAGAAAAGTTTTACAAAACAACAATAATAGAAGCATAAGTCATGATATCCTTTTATCAGTCTTGGTTGGGTCTGTAGAAATGCCATCTCCACTGACCATGTATCTCAGAAAATCTACCTCTTGCTAGAATAATTCACACTTCTGAGTATTCCTCAAGAGATCCAGTGTTTTTCTTAACCAATCTGAGAGAACATGTTCCATTAGTCATTCAAGTGTATCTGATGCATTATATAACCCAAATGTTAGCACAATAAGTTACCATAAACCATTTCTTGTAGTAAAGGCTGTCTTTTTATTGACATACTTTGTTGACTTCTGCTTGCCAGTATCCAATGTTCAAAGCTACTCTGACCCAGATAAAGTATCAAAAATAGCGTTA